TGAATGTTGATTAAGTGAAGGATCTGGGGATTGCGTCGAGAATCCTCTGCGTTTTCCTGCTTCTGACAAGCAAAGAGATCCATGTGTGATCCTTTACATTTTGGGCACACACCGAAATTCGTGCAAGCGTTTGAGTTGTGATCGCTTGCAAAACATCTCCAACACACTCCTTGATTTGTTGCTTCAAGCCGTCGGGCTTCTGGTGTGGTGTACCTCTGACAGGTGTGAGGAAAGTGTGGTTGTCCACATAAACACAAACGTTTTAGTTTCGAAAAGTGTTCTCCTCTATCGCATCTGGTAGTCCTTTCATTTTCTTGCTTGTTTGGGTGGTAGTTGGTTGGAAAGAGAGTTTCCGTTGTTAGCAAGATTGTCTCTCGCAGTGAAATGATGCTGTTTATGGTGTCCAGGATTTCGCTAACATCAAATGGATCATCTTGTACCGCTTCTTTCTGGATGGCGGTCGTACAGATGGATTCGGGAAATTTGGAAAAGATTATTCGATGCCAAAGTCTGTCTGCGTTCATCTTTGCTCCCGTTTGCTCCAGGTGAATGATCCTTGAGTTGATTGCTTCGAAAGTGTCTCGGCAACTTCTCGGATCATCTGAGGCCCTGGGTAGTTTTTCGATCTCATTTATAAGTATATCTGCCATGTTGGCAGAGCGATCGAAATGTTTCTTCAAGATATCTATCGCTGTCTGATATCTGTCTCCGATGACGGGTATGCAGCTCAAAGTGGCTGCTGCTTTCCCCTTCAGTGCTCGCTTTAGAAAGAGGAACTTGTCTGTATCTGATAGCTCCTCGTCAGTGTGGATAAGAGATTCGAAGATGGTCCAGAAGCTGTTAAATTCTCGGAAATTGCCCGAGAACGTAGGGATTTCCAGCAGAGGTCTCCGAATTTTGATCTGCCTCTCATTACGTTCTGGAACCCAAGCTTGTCCATTACCACTACTTGGTTGACTGGGTATGCTCGGAGCATCGCAGTGCAGTAGTGCGTCTTGTTCTTTCAGTTCATGCTGCCTGAACTTCATCCTTGTCCGCCACTGCACTACAACCACTTCCAGGTCAAGTGACTCCATCTCTAGGTGCTTGCTGAGCTCCATCATCAGTTTGTCTCTTTCTTTTTCCTCATTCCGTGCGCTGATGTACTCGATCGCGGAGTTGATCTGCGTCTCTTGAAGCTTCACTGCGTTGTGTAGAGAGTTGAGAAGATTGGTTATCAGTCCCGTTTCCTCTTTTATATACTGTTCATATTCTTCTTTTAGTGTGGAGAATGTGAAAGGGACATCAATATTTTCGATTTGTGACTCGTGGGATTTCACGAGTTTGCAGGCGTTGTTCATCCTGATCTTGAAAAGCTGGAGCGATGCCATTTTCTTTTCTGCTGCACGGGGTAGAGTCGTGCGCTGGTGTGGTAATTCCAAGCGTTCCAATTTGGAAGGTGTATCCTTTTCTTTATTTGTCGCTTTGGCTTGAGGGCGACAGCAGGGCTAGCCTCGATACGATAGCTGTCCTTACTGGTTGGAAGCTTTTTAGTGAGCTGGCAATTGAGTGCCGAGCGTGTACAAGCTGTCAGCAAGCGCGCCTGGTTGGCTTGTGCGCTGTACTGGACGGTAAGGTGTTGGAACCTGTCCCGTGAATGTAACGATCCAAAGCTCAAGATCGGTGAACCAATCGTGAATGAGCTTGGAAAGTTGAGATTTCTTTGCTAACTGTGGATGGACCAGTCAGTCAGCTAGAAACCTCTTTGCTAAGCTATGGATATGACCTGATAGCTTCGCAAGATGAAACTCGTTGTGAAAGTGGATGGACCAGCAATCACAGAGTGTTTTGGCTAATGGAAGCCAAAAAAAGTTCGAGGATTTCTGCTGCTAACTGTGGATGGACACGTCAGTCAGCTAGAAACCTCTTTGCTAAGCTATGGATATGACCTGATAGCTTCGCAAGATGAAACTCGTTGTGAAAGTGGATGGACCAGCAATCACAGAGTGTTTTGGCTAATGGAAGCCAAAAAAAGTTCGAGGAGTTCTGTTACTAACTGTGGATGAACCAGTCAATTAGTTAGAAAACCTCTGCTAAGCTATGGATAGGACCTGATAGCTTAGCAAGACTCGTATTAGTAAAGGTGGATGAACCAACAATTACTAGAGTCGAATATTGGCTAATTAGTAGCCGAGAGTGCGAGGAGTCTGTCGCTAACTGTGGATGAACCAGTCAGTCAGCTAGGAACCTCTACTAAGCTGTGGATAGGACCTGACAGCTTAGTAAGACTCTTAGTCGCGAAAGTGGATGAACCAGCAATCACGAGAGTCGAATAGTTGGCAATAGAGCCTGCCACGCGGGTCTTAGGCCTTGATTTCTCGTGTCCTTAGGAGGATTCGCCGAGGAAATGCAAGGAAAATCACTGGCCGATGCACCAATTTGGTGGGTACCAAGTGATTAGGGGGTAGACGAGTTGTGGAATAAGGTTTATTCGCACGGGCGTAGATTATTCGAGAAAAGTGTGAGGTGTCCCGGTGTGGACCGGGGAGCAACCCCTAATACATTCGAAGGCTCCTTATATACGAGGAAAGCGGAGCTGAACCGAGTACAGGGTACAATGTACACGAGTTGGTGCTTGAAAGGAGATGCCGCCGATTGGCTACACTCCTGGCGCACGGGTACCACTCACTCTTGAGGCTCCCGCCAGAGTGCCGAAGTTATGCCAGCGCTACGCCAGCATTTCGATCGATACACGTATGTTTCGTTGGGGCGGGGCTAGCTGACGTCCCCAACGAAATACACGTGTATCGATCGAAATGCTGGCGTAGCGCTGGCATAATTTCGGCACTCTGGCGGGAGCCTGAGTGATTAGATACTCAAGAGTGAGTAGCTCACCATTTAGCCTACGGGGATTCCGTAGGCTATATAGAATATAGAGTTCATGAATGGTTGATGATACAGAAATCATCAACAAGTGCACAGTAAGTGCAGATGCCTTTCTGCTTGTAGGACTTTCAATGCAAGCGCTGAAACTATAGTGAGAATTATTTCAGGTTGATGCGAAAGTAATAAAATTCTTTTATTCTGCCACTTCAGAGCAGATTCAAAAGTATATAAAACTTATCAATCAATAGAGCAAAGCAAACTCTACTAGATGGCCTTCAAAATGCAAAAGATTCCACCTACTTGAAATTAAAGGAAAGATCAAAATAGTAGCAAAACCAGAACTTCGTCCAAAAAAATCCTGCAAACCTCCAAATTAATCATGCACATAACTATCTATCTATCCAAATTTGGTCATTTGCCGCTACAATTACCGTGTTTTTTTTTCTTGGCTGGAACTGAAAAATAAATAAGCGAAATATACAAAATTGTCGGCTTCTTAGGGGTTTTTATGTAACTTCGATATCTTTCGATAGCTAGTACTTAGAGAAAGCTGGAAACTTAATGTTATACAGAGGTTTGTCGTATAAAACTTATGTCGCAATAGTCCAGCATTGCTTCTGTTAGAGCATAGTTCATTTTTAACTTCTTCTTCTATCCATGGAATACATAAACTTACAAACAGTTAATGCGACAAGTAACTTTCTCGAACATCAAGTTTTGCAAGATGTTTTCTTGAGACAGGAGTTTCTTTTTTAGGGTTCAAAATTTTGGTTGTTCTTCCTAAATTCTCGTGAACCGAACTTTTTGTGGTTGTTCAAACATCATATGGTAGTGCTCTTGCTTTGCTCCATCGAATGATATGTTTCATATACAGAGTGTTCCAAATAAATGTGTATTGTACCCATCCCTCTTCATTACTGTAAGACTACGGGAGGAACTTTGAAAAGTTTTGAGCCATGGATGGTCGCTCGAGCAATCGGTGACTCTCCCCACTCGTAAGTCCAAGTCGTTGTAAGCCAATTCTATATGGTACCTGAAGCTTCTCGAAAGACTTCATGATAAGACAATTGTTGGGGACTAAGCAGAGCAGTAGTCACATTTTTTCGGACACCTTGTATATTCATATCTTTGCCGCGACAGAATAAGGAACGCTCATTACTTTTGCATCGACCCATTTTGTTACATCGCAAGAGCCTAGGCCATAGAAACGCACTTTGCAAAACCTTCGATAAAAAAAATTAACCCGTCAACAACTGAAACATTGGTAGAGAAAATATTTCTGGATGTAGATGATTCCTACATAACTTCATACAGTTTGCTATAACAAGTGGCAAATTGATAATCTCAATGAAAAAATCAGATTTTCCTTTTCCTCGTCGTGGAAACCTGCAACAAGGAAAATGTTTTTATACCTATCCTTTTGCTAGGAGGCCCCACGCAAACGCAAGAAAAGCTTCGGATTCTTAATTTACGTGCACACGTGTCGTTGTTGAAAATTGTTTCCGACTGGTAACTCGTTTCGTAGTGCAGTCTTTGTTCTCGTTATACTTGTTTTCCATCCCATTAAAAAAACAATTGATTCGAAATGTTCACACCTATTCGAATTTTCCATTTGATTCTCATGAGACATCATCTGATCTCGATTTTCTTATATATGCCATTGAATTTGCAATTTTCGGGGAATAGTGATTGTGATAGGAACATAATTATAGGCAAAAAATCTTGAAAGCGTTAAGATGAATTTAAAAAGATGGACTCTTGCTAGAGTACTTAAATAGAGGGAGGGGGGGGGGGGGCATGACAGAAGTTAGGAGTCCGGAATTCGATTTCCGACTTATTTTAACAACTTTTTACTTCATAAAGACTAGCTATTTACTTTCTGGTTCTTGTAGGACTGCTGTGAAGAGGTGTGAATGGCATAAACTTCAATATTCCAAAACAGGTAGCGGTCCATGTTCTTTCTATTTCGAACATTTTTTTACATCAAGAATCGCGGCTCTAGCCACTTTCTCCATTTTTGGAACGCTTCAATTATTTTCTTGCAACCCTGAAAATGTGATAGAAGCAGAAAATCGTGCCCGTGTAGGCTATAACTAAAAAAAGGCCTAATCCGAACATATGTGCAACATTTCCAGCTCATTTCCTACGCTCGATCCTTGCATGGTGCGGACATGCAAACAATTATGCCAAGACGACGAAGCCAGAGCAATGATAGGATGTTTCTGCAGAGGTTTGTCCAGTTATATCTCTAGATGGTTTTCACCGAATTGGGCGATGTGAAATCTTTTTGCTGTTCTCATGATGACGACATCAGCTCTGGGGAAGAAATATAGAACGCTTGCAGGATCCATCGACGGACGAGGGATGCGCATGTGCTTCTGTGGGCCGTCACGACATAAAAACGCAACAACACTGATGTTTTGACAATGTCTTTTTTCGGGTGCATGTGCAGATAACTTGAAGATTGTAATAAACGCAATTACACCAAGTGTAACAAGTCAGTTACATGAGGTTCATGTAAAACTTCTGAGGTATAATATTTATTTCCCAAACCGTATCAGCGTATCACAAAATCACAGGAATTTCAAGTCAAATTAGTCTTCAAAAAAGAAATCCTTCACCAGATCAGCATTCTTTGCTTGACTCTCTAGCAATCGCTTGTGCTAAAATAGCCTCGCAATACCCGAGGGTGGATAACAACATAGAAAAAAGCTGACCTTTTTCCCCAATTCCAGCAGCGTCGGAACACAAGTCAATTTGAAATCCTTGTCAGTTCGGAAAGGGCAAGCTGGGTCTTTCCAGCTAAGAAAGTCCAACGAAGTCAAAGACAATGAAATAACCGGATTAAACTTACTATTCGCGAGCTCCTACGTAACAAGTAACAAATGTTGCATCCAGTTCTTTCCCTTCCTTTCCATTTACTATCGATTCCACGACCGGTTCGGCTGAAAGTAAAAGAGATGATATGCACAGGAAGTGAGCGGGATCTCATGTTGTAAATGTGTAGGAAAACTTCATCAAAAGACAAAGGTACGCTGAACGCCGTAAGGTGGTCTGTTCAAGTAGTAGGCGATAATTTAAAAACCAAACGCGAGCAAACTATTTTCAACAGCAAACTTCAACTATAAGCAATATGATTTCACGCATTCAGAGCATTTATAATAACTACATAACATAGTAGTTGACGGATTCAGTGTTCCCGCGTCCTCAAAAATCTTTGCGCGCAACAGCAGGTGAAAAGGAAAACTTCATTATGAGCTCTCAAACAATTTTTAGCGCAAATTTTGTTGCTATCTCAAGCACCTAATTCATTTGCAAACAACGACACATCGACCGGAATTCTCCAATCCCTAAACGCTCTTTTTGTTGTGTTCAGGGCAACTGAATGGGAGGGGGCAAGAGAATGCTGCATGTAGCTTAGGTGCTTGCTTCTGATCAAAAAACCCCCCATTTGTAGACCTCATCAGTGATGTGAAAAGCGCTTGAAATATTATAATGAATAGAATATCCAAAATATGTGAAAAACGAAAGTAGGCACAAAAGACTTGCTCCTTCAAGTAGATTATAAACCAATTGAAGCAAAGCACATGAAGTATGCTTAGCACTATCGATAATCAACATGTCTGCAAGCCATATTCCCATTAAGAAAATGGTGCTGATTTCAAAATCTGGGGTGATTAACTGATGTGACACAGCCTTAATTGTCACGGCGGGATACACCTACTTAAGAAGCTGCTATGTCATTGAGGGATCATATAGTAACAGCTATCTACCAATGTAGCCAAGCGGATAGAACAAAATTGTGTTGACGATAGCATACTGAACGTGCAGTATATTCAACAAGCATTCAAAAGTAAAAAATAAGCATTACAAAGCATTCAATGCGAAAACGTACAATTTTGGAAAAGGAAAGAAAGAGGAAATGAACGAATGAAAGAATGAAACCCACCTGCGACACAGTCAGGGCACCAGCTTTTACCATCGACCTTCGATCCAGTGAAGAAGATGAACACTTTGCCCGAGAGTGACTTTAGTTCCTTGTGAAGAGCGTCGTAGCCCTCGACGGTCACTTCACGCATCGCCACGAAGTCGATTTTATTGTCTTGAACATCGCGCTGCAACAGTCCCTCCCATCGATGTCTGCCGCGCTCAAAAAATAGTAGGATGAAGTTGGAGCGCATTTTCCTACCCACTTCGGAACTCGTCAACTCAAAAATGACGGCTCATATTCTAGAATATGCGCACGGTAATTCCTGTTGTGTTGTGACTAATGATGACTTATCTAGATACTGTCGACGATATTAGCCTCATATTGTAAAAACTTGGTACGCAAAGTGCATTCCTACATCAAAGGCAGCGTTCCGGCTATGCTAATGTATCAAAATGACTAGAAAATTTTCGCCAACATGGGTTAACCAAAGCCAGAGGGCGCAAAAATGTCGGAAGTGAACGTCTCCCGAGGCCCTAGCATGAACTCAGACGTGTTGGAGAGGTCAGAAACCTGCCAAGGTTGCCGGCACAGAGTCGTTCTGGGACCCTTCGGCCAATCTCGGAGCGTCCAATGCAGTTTGAAAAGGGCGATGTAAAACCTTTCGTAGCAAGTACCAGGCTTCGTAAGGGCACTGCTTCGCTAAGAATTCGCACTCGCCTGGCCTGACCGCTCCGTGCATAGGAGGGGGGGGGGAACTATCTGAAAACTTTGAATTTTTGCTTTTTGGCTTTTGTTTGGATGACACTTTAGGCCCCGGTCAGACTTCACGCGATTTGGTCGTCGCGACTCAGTCGCCGACATTTCCATTCATTTTCATTTCACATTCAAAAATTTCGGGCTGGAAAAGTATCACAACCGAAATGCAAGTTGATCGGCATGGAATGATGTTGTAACAGTTGTCTCGTCGCGATTCAGTCGCGACGATCAAATCGCGTGAAGTCTGTCCGGAGCCTTAGCGTCCCGCTTACTGCAGGAACATCGAGAAGGTGTCATCTATAGTCTCTTTTGAGATACTCACTGCATACAAAATAACAGTTCACATTCATTTCTTTTGAAAACGAATTGAAAAACTTTTAGGCAATTATCATGTAGGGAAAGCCATGAGCTTGGCAAATTCCGGTTTTCCTTTTGCATAATCGACGAGGGCTTTCTTTGCAGTCGGACCAATGCCAACTCTAACAGCCGTTCTGGATAGCCAATGGGTGCTGCAAAGCAATAATTCAACTTCCGCAATCATCCTCAGCAAGCCAACAAAGCAGACTGTATCTTCGAAATTTCTGCTCTCAGAGAGGTATGAGCAGAAGATGCGCAAACGTCAAAAACCGCGCCGCAGCAGGGACCGAGATTCATACATTGCCTGCGTCGATGACTGCTCTAAACGTTTCTTACCTGGATGTGAGGTTATCACATAGCGGCTTCACCTGTTTCACTTGATAGATAGTGATTGCTATCACAAACATGGTACCAAAGTTGATTATTATCGGAAGTGTGGTGGCCATAATAAGCCATAGGGATAAACCCTCGTACATCTGAAATTCATAGTAGACCTGCGAATTTGAATTGGACAAACAGAGTCGGATGTTACGGAGACTTACTTGTACACAGCTGTCACTGGACCTAAAAAATCAAGATCAAATTGCTTCGTGTGGAAAAAAAATGATGAAATCGTGGGTGTACAGGGCAAAGTCTGAGGGCGAGGGGGGGGGGGGGGGGAGACAGAAAAGCGAATTAATTTGAAACTTTTAGTGTGACTAGCAACTATATCGTGATGCTTCAACAACTCGAGACCGGAATATAAAATGTATTACGTTGATGTAGAAATTCTTGCTTAATTCGAGCAAGCGATATTTTTTGATCGTAATCCTGTAATCATGGTTTTGTATTCTAAAAATGGAATAACAATGTTCGAACCACAGCTTTTCTTTGACTCATCTCAAAGATTAAGGTTTTCAGAAGTGGCAATTCAGTTTTCGAGATTAGATTTCATTGTAAAAATCGCCATAGGCGCTAGCAAGCCCGAAAAATCCGAAAGAAATTTTTACTTAGCAGTAGTCTATAAATCACAGTAGCAGGCTACAATTTTACGCGAAAACGCAAAAACAAAAATTCAAATATACTATTTTACAGATTGCAGAAATATTTCGCGTTACAGCACTTTTGCAGCAGAAAAGCTATTTTCAGTGTGAAGAAAACGTCACAGTGTTTCAGGTAAGCAGTAAGCAGTAGGAATGTCTAGTCTCCCACTATGTTTTTGCTAGAAAAATGTGGTAATAAGGTTTTTTCTATAAATGGCAATTTCTAATTTTGATTTGAACCCTAAAACTAAAGCCTTCTACAAAGAAGTGTGGGCTGCTATCTAAAAGATCTTTTGTTTTTCTAAGCTAAACAGCTAGAGCATTTTTAAAAATTGAAGTGCCGTCTTCGAAAGCTTGGTTCTCTAGTGCCTCAACGAAAAGAAGCGATAAAACCGCTACCGTGAAGCGCAAATCGTCTTCTATTTTAAAGATGCAAAGCTATGATTTTAGGTTTACAAATAATAATGGATTTTCTCAGATTACGCAAGCTTTAACATCAGTCTATATAATCTTTTATTGTTTTTAGCAATAGATTACATTTAATTTACAAATCAAACTTGAAATAGCAATTCATGTAGTTAAATAGCAGCGACAGCTATAGCAAAAGTCATCGGAACACATTTCCCTTTTTCCAAGAAGAATACTATTTGAGTTCCATTGTTCAAAGTATTTGATGGAAGGAGATGTTTCCTGCAGGTTCACAGGTAAAACATCCCTGTAACAATTGTCGATGAGAAGCTATAACAAAAAAGAGTGCCTTAGAAATGGTCCTTCCATCGTTTTTGGAATATATGCGAGGAGAGGTGTTTTGACATATTCATATCAATGTCGCTTTCTTTCTTTCCTCCTTACCAAAGTTGAACGATAGCTTTTTCTCAAATCGGTCATTTCGAAATGGACTATTGGATGCTACAAACCCATGAGGTAAATGAAATAAAATGAAAGGTTTTTTGAAATAATTCCAAACTTATAATTGTTCCAATCAAATGAGAAAATTACCAAATTGAAATTGACAACGTGATTTGTGGACTGTACTTTGGTCGATATCAGCCTTAAAAGGAGAAGGAAAGTGGAGCGAATCCTTGGATTAATTTTCAACAATTTTTAGGAAGTTCTAGAACTTTTTTAGTGAAAATGCTGTGTGAGAAGGTGAGTCTCCCCTTACTATATCCAAGCCCCCCTACCCTACGAAGAGACTCAAGAGTACTTCGGTAAAAGAAGATGCAAAAAAGGCCACTTCATCAGTTTAACTCCCAAAATTGTCAAGGGCTTTCAAACCTAATAGCTTTTTGTGTGTTTTTTCTTCCGCGGAAGTTTCCGGGCAGTTTCTGAGTCAGGAAAAAGGCTGTTGAATGCTAATTTGACTTGCGCATGGTACGTAGATCAGTTCGTGAGACGAATTTTACTACGATATGCGCTGACTCCTTTTCTCATATTTAAAAAGGATATAGAAACCAATGATTGTTTGAGCTAAAGAATTTTATCGTCTAGAGACTACTCTGGCCATTGCACATTTGACATGTATTTTTCCAAAATGTCAACGAAAACTTCTTGTAAAATTATTCCAACACTTTTGTAGATGATTGCAGAAGAGTACCAACAAAAAAGTATAATAAGGCATATCATTAAAATCGTCTCCGAGTCCTCGACTGAACTTACAGCAAGTATTTTTTACTTTAACTCCTAGCTCTGATTTTTCTGCACATTTTCTGCACTTGTAAATCGCATAATCTCACCTGTAACTTTGAGTGGTCAAAGCGCTTCCTTGCATGAGACTTGTATTGCTATACCTTAATAATCATTGTTTCCCTTCAGATAGGAATATAATACAGCTCGTAATTTGTGATGAAAATTATCGCACTCCGCCGGGGTTCGCTGGAATTCTCGTAGCAATGCCATATCTTGCTCCAGAGTGGACGAAGTCTATATCCGAAAGCACCATTCAACTCACAAGGAGATGGTCAGAACTTAATCCAGTCATTCCAAACAAGGTGTATTTCATCGGACTCGTTCTAAAACGCTGATTTCAAATATATGTTCCTTACCTGCCAAGCGACTATATGGGAGGAGCTGTGAGTATACGAATCTGAGAAATTTTTCGAGTTTCGACGAATATACTTCCTTGAAAGGCAGCCTGATGGCGCGAATTTACGGTGACGATGGTTATTTTGATAACAAGGAAGACGCACATTCAGAAAAAACCTAAATAAGTGTTTTTGAAACCTACTTGGTGGAACATGCGCCACAAAGCACTTGACAAAGCGCACATTCAAACGCTACTCTTCCCAGATAATCGCTTGGCAGATAAAAAACATATATTTGTGATCAGCGTTTGCGAGCCCGATTATATACAGCATGATTGGTATGGCTGGGTTAAGTTGTGACCATTCCCTGCTCAGCTCGACGAGGTGCATTGCATTTTCTAATACGTGGTATACCTGTTTCGGCACGGTAGTCGGTCAATTTACGGATCTTCCCAGCTTTTTGCTCAGGGTAGGTTATTTAGGTGCTTATTCTTTGCTCAATGAGTAACTACCGTAAAAAAAACTGAAAACTTTCAATACAGTGTCAAGCAGCACTTCTATACTATATCAGAAGAAGCAACTCGCGGAGCTCAGTTGCATGGTGCCTTTGAATTCAAAATTCGTCCACTCTTCCAATCGGGCTATGGCCAGAATCCCGGTAGCCTTCGCATCTTCTTTTCACAAATTATGAGCTGCATTGTACAACACGAAAAGCATTTGATTTTGCATCTCCTTTCCTAGCAAAGAAAAAACGTTCACTAACAAATTATTCTTTGGCATTCTCATAGTGGCACTGGAAATACTCATAGCGGAACCCTAGAATGGAGATTTTTTTAAAGTATAACATGCAAGGCAACGATGTTGCACATCTCAAAATTCACAGTAACGATATCTTGCAGCTTATCAGTAGCGTCACTTGACCCTCCAAATTGTACCACCATGATTGATAAGCTGATGACTTACCAAAATCAACACAAAGAACAGCATGGAGATGACTGGTAAATGACCGTCAAAACAAGGAATGAAGCCTTCCATAGCAGCGAAAGTTGTTTGCTTCTTGTCATTGTTTACGTTTTCAATTATCATGATTGATTTTCGATTTAAGGAACATCGTAGCATTGTCAGTGGACATGGTCAGAATGTTTCGCGACCGATAGCCAGGGCTCGGCACGAGGTGGCTAGATGAAAATGCAAAAAACGAAGTCCCCCTTGACTTTTGAGTATTTTTACGAAGTCCCCTTTGACCCTACTCCATATTCCCCAAAAATTCTCCAAAAAGCGGAACGTCGACTAAAAAAAACGCCTCCACTTTTGCGTTTTTGTGTCTTCGTCCACAAAAACGAAACCCCTTTTGCTTTTTGTCCCAAAAACGATATCCAGCTTGCTTGTAAGCCACCTGTGCCGAGCCCTGCTGATAGCTGCAGAATCATTGCCTGCGGAATGTGCGAGAGCTCTGCCTAATTATCGGGACCTTGCTTTATTATCTCCCAAAAGCTGAAACTTTTCCTATCAATGAAGCAATGATAGATGAATCTCTCTTTCATTGCCAAAACATAAACAATAGAAGTGATAAATAAAATATGATGCTTTGCTTTCAAGAATTCTCACACAAATGGAGACATACATACGCTTAGCAGAGTTAGGTTAGAAAGAAGTTTTCGGATATTTTTAGTAAACCTGCTATTTTTCGGAATTCAATGCATGTATCTACGATCGGCTGGCACATTCGTGGGGAGGCGGGTTGCGGACTTCCCTGATTATAAGGATAAACTTAAAGGCAGTGTCTACGCAAATTCTGGGCACATAGGATTCTTGCGTGGGAGCTGATGAAGAGGTTCTAGCTAAGGTACTGCCCAAACCGCAGCGCAAATAATTTAGTCACGGCTGAGAAATCCATCTCAAAACACTCCGCGGCTGCGCCGTGACCGTAACACTTAAGACGGGTCCCAGCGCGAACGTAATGTTAAAGTGAGCGAAGTCGTTTCCGGGTTACGGTCATGGCGCAGGCGCGGGGTTTTTCGGGACGGATTTCTCAGTTGTGAATGTACGATTTGTGCGCAGCCCTTTGGAGCCTTAGTTAAGACCCCCTCATCAATTTCCAAGCGAAAAACCCATGCGTCCAGATTCACCTGGACACTCCTTTAACGAAAGAATACGAAAAACAATGCTGCAACGTGGAGGTTCAACACTTAAACACTTTATCCATATTCAGGGAAAGCCTGCAATCCGCCTCACATGAATCTGGGAGCCGATGATACATGCGCGAAAATTAGCTGCACTCTCACACGCACCCAATATCAAGCAAGTGGAAGGAATTTAAGATCAACGTGAGCGACGTTTACCAGTTTTCAAATACCTCGATTTTTTTTACCTCAAATTCATACAAACTGTTTATATAAGCGTGCAAGTATGCTTAAGCTAAATGGAGCATGTGTGAGTCTACAGCATTTATAGAAGTTGGAAATCTGGGTTAGGGCAAAGTCCTATTCTTTCGAATTTTCGCCGGAAACTCCAAAGAATACATTATGCTTGTGCTTACCATGATTCTGTAGAGATTACTTTCCTCTATCCAACGATGTCAGATGTACCCATCAGTGCTTACATCGAAACCTTCTCGGAATGCAATGTCCGACAACTTTCTTTTTAACCCAATAGTTTTCAAGCGGTTTTTCAAACGACACCGGCTTTCCCCGCCAATCTGTCTACCCTTCGCTGGCTCACAGAAGTGGTAATCTTCGTGTCTAGTCCATCTCTTTGAAAATCATAATCTTGTACAATTCCACTTGAAATTACTTTTCTGAGTGTCTCTAACACCTCTTGACGGAGGTTCCACTAATAAGCCAAAATTGGAAATCACTATATGCATTACTGTTTACCTCAGGAAAATTTCGCTTGTGCTGAAAGGTGGTTTGTACATCTTTACGACTTTGACCTAAGTTTTCCAAAACATAAATGAGCTATAGTATTACTGATGCAAAACACTGCCATCTTTCACCATTTTGTTATACATAATTTTGCCGTTGATTTTTTGATGCGTAAAAAAAATTAATTCCCAACGAATGGTAGCAGTTAAGAGCTTCCAGCATGCAAGAACAAGGTGTGTCCATAATTATCATATACTACGATTTTATCAACCAAAAAATAACAGCTCAAATACAGCGTCAACAAATTAACAAATGTTTCTGCACACATCATTCTGTTCTCCAGCAAACATTTACTTGGTCAGTGCGGTACCGTTGCGTTATCGTGGATTTCTCAAGCTGCGGGAAAAAAAATCAGAGAAGAATAGAGAGCCTAACTGCCTAATTCCGACCCACCTCACAACTCAACCCTGCTTTATGCATCAGATAACCTGCTTGCGCTATCATTGCACCATTATCAATACAAAAACGTTCATCAGTAGCAAATAGGTACGCTCCACGCTCGGCACACATGCATTCCGCCATTTCCTAAGACAGAAAAACGACTTTATTTTTGCGACAGTTCAGTCCTACCTGAAGCCTCTTGTTGCAGCCAACACCTCCGACAATGAGCAGTTCTGTACTTCCTGTATGTGCCATAGCACGCTCAGTAATTTCCACTAGCATTGCAAAGACGGTTTCCTCAAATTGAAACATTTTTACGAACATGTGACAGACAGAATGAAATGCCAAGATTACCTGAAGGGAAAAACACAGGTCTTCCACAGTATATTCACCACTGGCTATTAGTTTTGCAGCTTTGCTCTCGATTAAAGATAATATCCCAGAAAATGCAACATCCATGCCTTTGACATTGTACGGTAGTTCTAGCAACCGACTTCCTGCAAAGGTGATTGTGAGCAAGCAAGGCAGTATGAATGATCAGCGATGTGTGCTAGTGGATGTATAGTAAAGCGCTGGATAAGAAGTTAGGATTAGAAGAAAACTTAACGAGAAAAAAATGGGTAAGAGTGCCAATCAACACAGAGGTACTTCCCTCATGAGAAGGCTTGGACTTCAAAATGTTCTAGCAAACATACATTTAGAAGATAAGATAGTAATCATTCTGATTACAGAAACCCAGCACTATTCCAGGATCCGGGTCCCAAAATTTTAGTGTCGTGAATTTTGCTCATACTCAATTTGGGGGGAGGGGGGAGGGAGAGTACGCGGTGATGCCGAATACCATACCAATTTTCTGAGACGGTATACAGTAGGGGTCAAAATCAAGGATTTCGTTGAAACTTTGCCAAAGGGTGTTATTCGACATGCTGATCACGAATATCATACTCTTTCTCATTATGATGCCCTTTCATACGGTAGGTTGCAATAGGGGGACAGAATCTTAAATCGGGCTGGAATTTGGTTCAAAGGGGTTATTACACACTAGCTGGCTTACCCGGCTCCGCCGTATCCGGACCAAACTTGGCACACATACACTTCGGGCCCTGGCGGGTGTCACAGTCCACTTTTCGTTATCGATCGATGTCGATTTTACCGATTTTTATCGATTTTTTTGCAGAGTTCACTTACAGGGCTAGGAGTTGGCACAGGGGGCGAAGTGAGCATGGGGATTCCGAATACAACATTAGTTTTCAGGATCGTCCATTACTTTTATCGATTTTATCGATTTTTTTGTAAAGTTTGACCTGCGGGGCTGGGAGTTTGCACAGGGGGGTAATCGAGCATGCTGATTACGAACACAATATTAGTTTTCAGGATCGTCCATTACTTTTTCGATTTTATCGATTTTTTGAAAATTTGAGCTAGGGGGCTGGAATTTGGCACAGGAGTGTAATCGAGCATGCTGATCACCCCCCTTGGGGGTGATCAGCATGCTCGATTACCCCCCTGTACCAACTCCCAGCCCCCTAGCTCAAACTTTGCAAAAAAATCGATAAAATCGATAAAAGTAATCGATAATCCTGAAAACCAATATTGTATTCGGAATCCCCATGCTCGATTACCCCCCTGTGCGAACTCCCAGCCCCCTAGCTCAAACTTTGCAAAAAAATCGATAAAATCGATAAAAGTAATCGATAATCCTGAAAACCAATATTGTATTCGGAATCCCCATGCTCGATTACCCCCCTGTGCGAACTCCCAGCTCCGTAGCTCAAACTTTGCAAAAAAATCGATAAAATCGATAAAAGTAATCGATAATCCTGAAAACCAATATTGTATTCGGAATCCCCATGCTCGATTACCCCCCTGTGCGAACTCCCAGCCCCCTAGCTCAAACTTTGCAAAAAAATCGATAAAATCGATAAAAGTAATCGATAATCCTGAAACCCAATATTGTATTCGGAATCCCCATGCTCGATTACCCCCCTGTGCCAACTCCCAGCCCCGTAGGTGAACTCAGCAAAAAAATCGATAAAAATCGATAAAATCGATATCGATCGATGACGAAAAGTAGCCTATGACACCCGCCGGGGCCCGAAGTGTATGTGTGCCAAGTTTGGTCCGGATCGGTTCAGAAATGGAATTTTCTATTCGGAACATACGTACACACAGACATACATACAGACAGACAGACAGACAGACAGACATACAGACAAACAGACATTCAGCTTTATATATAAGATTCTGATTACGAATGTCATACTCTTATTGCATTTTGGGACCTCTTCGCGGAGTTACGGTAGTCAACATTGAGATCTGACTGAAAATAAAGAAAGGGTACCTTATTTGCTGATCACGAATATCGCGCTCATTTCCCATGATAAAGCCTCTCGGTGATTTTTTGTGATCTAGATGATCCGAAAGGCGAAAGAATGTCTATTCATACGCTACAAACTACTATAACTCCGCGATGACGTCATTGCAGCGAGCAAGCATAATATTCATAATCAGCAAACTTGAAAACATTTGTCCAGGTTCGGCTGTCTCTTAACCTTGGCATGGTGGATACTCGTAGTGGGATTGGTTGAGCGAACTTCAAGGTTGATAACACTTCTTTATTCGCTAACGTTTCGGCGCTTTCGCCTTCTTCAGAGCCTGCAAGCCGAAAGTATATGAACTTACTCGTCCAGACGTCAACAATAGATAAAGTATCATTCAAGAACAAGGCCAATGCTAAAGAAAACCATATTCACAAGCACAGTACTCACCTTAGATAGCACAAGACGGAAGTCCGAGGACCACCACTATACACAAGACTCAACCTCAGCTCTTGAAAACATTTGCAGACAAGGTTCTAAGCAAATTTGGAACCTCGACCCTCTACCGTACGCCCATCAAAATTCAAAAAATGGTGTACTTTGGAAAATCAGTATGACATTCATGTTCAGAGGGCTTAACCAGCCTAAGCGAAGTTTAGAGCGAATTAGTGGATTCGACCCCATAGCTTGCATCTACCGTAAATCCATAAAGTCCCAAAATGCAGAATGGGTTGATATAAGCGATCAGCACTTCAGAAAACCCCCTAAACCAGATTTAAGCCAAATCTTTTATTTTGATCCCCTACTATACCCACCGTATCCCCACCGACTACGTTTGTGTGCAAAATGAGTGTGATATTCGTGATCAGCATGTCGAATAACCCCTACAGACCAAGTTTTAGCGAAACTGACGAGCTCGAAATTCTGGACCCGGGTACAGGATTAGCGCCCATAATTCTTATGCTTGGATATTTATTTGTGCAACAGACGTATTCAAAAGACTTTCCAAAGACTGCGTTAATGCGCAGTGAAGCCTCTCTTTTTTTAAGCTGGATTTCAATGGCAAGGAAAGGTCATTTAACTTATTTTAATAGCACACCTTTCTTAGCTGCTTGCTCGATATTATATCCTGGGCTAGGATCATTCGGTAACCTGACGACCCGAGCAAATCTGTCCAAACAGTTACCTACAGCGATATCAATTGTTTCACCAAATACACGATATTTATTGTGCGAATAGGAAATCACCTGAAATGTGACTTACATACTGGAAACGCAGTCAATGACAAGCTTGGTATACCTGCGTGTTCCCGCCACTAACATACAACACCACAGGGTTATGCGCACCCGTGATAAGTCGTCCCATTTCTATATGACCAATGCAGTGATTAACGGGAACGAGTGGTACTGACCAGGTCAGCGACAGTGTGCGAGCGACTATAGCGCCAACCTAAAAAGCACTGAATGAACCAAAATCATAGAAACTTTGAGTATTTTGAAAGTCTGAGCGAAAAAGCCTAGCAAAGATCGAACTTCGATTTTGTTCGAGATTTTTGAGCAATGCACTAGAAAGATGGGAAGGCAAGTTGTCAAGGATGCGCGAAGACGCGATACCGAAATATTCGCTGCCATCGTTGAAAAGTGAAACGATCAAAAGTTTTTGAGTCTGTTCCTACCTGTAAAGGGGCTCCCATGCCTGGGCCTTTCGTAAATGCAATAGCATCAATTTCTTTTTCTGGCTCTTTGATCTTGGCGTCACTTAGAGCTTGCGTCAGGATTTTTAGTATCTGAATAAGTTGAAGAAATAAAAGTTGGCTAAATACCAGATTCACTTGTTTACCTGTTGACGATGATGTTGCGCTGTTTCGCTAGGTCGAAAGCCTTCTCCTGGTGGGGCATGGAATGTGGCACGAGGATTTGACAGAACCTCACCATCTCGAACTATGCCAACCTGGAAGTGTATCTAATTTTTTTCATTTTATCAACTTCATTTGTACTCACCCCAATCTTATTCGCAGAACCCTCGATGCCAAGTATACAGACCATCTTATCAGATGAATCGCTTCAGCGCTAGGAGTTTCCGCCCTCTCTGCAACAGACTGTTTTCAGTTTTGGTAAAAAGCGAGGGCAGCACGAATCTCACATTATAATTGCTCTCAGCAGCTTTAGGAGAATTGCTCTTATTCTTTAGAAATTCCTCGCGCACTCTAGCAACGAAGTACTTTTGATCCGTGTATACCAATCCCTTGGAGTACCGTAAAAGGTCGCGGTATAAACTCAACACCTAGAATAGGTAAGTTTTACTTCGCAAAGTATTAGTATAGATTTTTAAACATTTCTAAATAACAAAGTACGAAGATATAGATTTACGTAAACTCAATTTTTACTATACTTACGAAGTCGATTTTTGAAGAAAATGTTCGCACTTTCCTAACTAGTAGACAATATTTCTCGTCATATCAGAGTTCGTGCTTGGTAAAGATAAATGCAACCCCTCAACGCGCACTTCTTCAGGAAAATGCTTAGTTGATTTAATAATATGGACCTCCATTAGCGAACTCGCTATGTCTTTGGCTCATGCTTTTTTCCTAACACTTCCTTCAGCAGTTGTGATGAGAAACATACTAGGAAAGGATAAAAGGATAAAGGATTCGGCGTCTTCAATATCTCTCGAGGGCATGCGCCGAACGCACACACTAACTTCATAGTCGAAGAGGCAGTTGTATGCGTACGAGCCTATTACAGTGACTTGCGGGGGCCAGCCGTTTCCAAGTCAGTGCTTTTATCCTCCCAGATTACTCTGGTTTACTCCAATTTACCAGCCCCGCAGGGTAGAGGGCTTGGTTGGCCCATGGGCGGGGATCGAACTTGCGTCTGATCTGGTCATAGCGGCGCCTCACCACAACGCCACTCGTCCCCAAACATGCTAGTATAAAGAATAACTCTAGAGCAATACAAACCTACTACAGCACCCACCACTGACGCATATGACCGTTTCTGAATAATTTTGATCTAGCTGCGCGTTCAATATTTCAGCCCAGATCGCCCTAACTCAGTCTCTAGAGACGGTGGCTGATGTCGGAGGTAGAGTTTAACCACAGTGAAAGCTCTTTATGGCCCGTGTGCACTACCCTGCCTGCGGCGAGGTGAGTTGCGTCCCCCGCTACGAAAGGGCCGCGTGCGGACGCTGCTGCGGCTTCATCATTGAGGAAGTCGCTCCACTCGCCACAGGGATAATAGTGCATACGGGCCTAAGTGCTAATTTCTAGAACAGCTAATTCGATTGATGACTTTTTTGCGTGAATTCTCTCAAATGTCACGTCAATCAAAGAGTTCAACATTTGTTCGATGTAATGTATAGATTCTATTCACGCTTGAACAAAGCAACACGAAAGTGAGTTGATTGTAGTTTTGGTTAAAATTCGAAGTGAAGCAATCAAGACAATTGCAAGAAACTGCACTGATACAAAACCAATTTTGTTGAGACAAGAATGATGTCAGCAGCGAGCGCAGCTGATGATGAGGTTCAGCTGCCGTTTCTTTCAAAAATAACGCTCAAATGATCTATGAGACTTCAATAGTAGCCAAAATTCCACTCTAGAAACTGATTTGGAAAGCATTCAGCTCAACTTCTTCAGGAAGAAAAAAAAGGCAAAATGCTCACGAGTTTGGAAGCTGAAACATATTATTTGGCAGTCTGGTACTACTTATAAACATTCAAAAAATTTCAAGATACAAATTTTTGTAGGAAGTAGTTTCAGTAATACTACAATGGTTACACAAACCCCTTCTAGCAAAAAACGCATACCTTTGCTCTAAGCATAGGATCCCCTCGCCGCGCCTAATGAGAAAACTGATCAGTGATGAGTTAGAGAGGGTATCTGGAAAAAAGTAAAACGGGATAAAAAAAATGAGATCCACCAGTACGTAATAGGAACAGACTCCCGACGTATACAATTGCAAGTGCCATGACCTTTCATGAATTCACATCAAAAAGACAAAAAAAAGATCTCCCTTTCCCTTCTCCCTTTGAATAAACTGCGTACGACCTACGTCGGTGTAGAAAGCGAATCTAGCGACAGTCACAAGAAGCTTATCCTCTACTTTTGAACTTTCTTCGAAGACTCAGGCCCACAATAGAGCAATCCAAAAAGACGTGGTAATTCAGCCGATGATATGAATACAGCGAAATATATTGCAGAATTTATCAAAATAAGAAAGAACGATACTGACATACTGAACACAGGGAACGCCGAAAAGCTACACGTTTCAATCATATTACCGTAAGGGGAGCTACATGATTCCCGAAAACGCAGGTCTAAACAAAAGGTGATAGATACATGCAAAGAACGCATGAAAGGCGCCGGCTGACCAATATCGCCAGCCTATCACAAGTGACTTCAACTGTTAATACAAAAAAGGATATATTTAGAGAGAAGCTACAGATCATGGAATACAATTAGTTAAAATATAGTCGCAAGCAACTGAGAACGCCAGCACCAAATCTCAAGAACGATCAAAGTAGAATCAATTGGTGTGGACTGGTTTGCTTTCTGTAATTAATCACAGAAAGCTGAAAAAGGACGGTCTCCAGCCTCATACGTAAAACTCATACAAATAACTTCTATATCGGCCCAAGTACGATACTCAGCTTCACCATCCAATATTTGAAGAAATTGTACAGGAGATAGATGACCACAAGGTAGGCAAGAGCCCAAGCTCCGTAAACAACAGGATGATGAGCGGCCTTCAAAATAAAAGAGAGAATGATCGAAAAGAGCAATTTGGAGTATTAATATTACTTACAGTATTGATCGTCATAACAGTCAGAAGTACGCTGAAAAGTAGAGTTGTAACGGCGGTAACAAGGTAGATCAATGCACGTCGTCGAGCAAAGCCACCCACAGTTGACCTTAACAGATGGATGGCAACAAATAAACATAAGCCTGAATCCAACAAACTTCTTTTTGCAGTGTGGACAGTGAGCTAGGCTGTTACTGAGAGTGTTGAATAGAAACACTTCAGAACAATGAACACATTGAACACGGCAACTTCCAGCTGGAGCACGGATAGCGCTACCTTGCGGTTCCCGATGACCTAAAATTTTCAAAATGGGTTTATAAACAGTGAAGCAGGTTGGAAAAATATTCACCAAGAGTTATAACGCGTCGACAATTTCCTCGTGGGCAAGCAATGCGTGTCGATGCAGCTTTACAGATTAGAAGACAATTACATGGACAACGTACATACCTAAAACGAGTAGTGTGGGGTTATGATGACGAGGCTAGAATGGATTTGAAAAAAAAACACTTGCAAGCCATTCTAAAGTCACCAATAAAGTGAAACAAAGAACTACACACTTTTTGACATAAAAATGACAGAAACTAAAGAAATGGCAAATAAGCTCATTTTTCATCAGTTTCAAAGCGATAAAAATCATTTTTTGTATTTGAGGCTGACTAGGGAATAAATGTAATAAAAGCAAAATCTACACCTACTTTTTTCCAGCAGGAGCAGGACGAATAGGAGTTGCTTCGTGGCATGCACTACATTTAACAACATGCTGAGAATCGCGACCATTGAGTTCAATCTGTTCATCACAGACGCGACAGGTCACCGTAGCTCCTGCAAACCCATTCAGGAATGAGAGATTATATGAAGCAAATGAAGAAAAAGGCTAAACTAACCAGTAGGACGACGCTCGCCAGTTTCTTCTACGTTTTCAACACTTCCTGGATGTGTTTCATCATCTAGCGTATCACTTCCTCCTGCCATATAGGACTGCTGCGCCCGGTCATCTCTCAAAAGTGGCACGTTCTCACTGCCACCGTCCTCGCGATTCATCCCCTGCTTGCTTCGCCTGTCAACTAAATTTGAGCAGAAATGATAGAAACTTCGACAGCTTCACTTCAGGTAGATGGTGAATAACGCATGAACAAATACAGTAAAACACGTCAAAATAATTTATACAACTGAGTCGATAACATGAGAAGTTTACAACAAATCGTGATAAACAAATCTAAGTATTGCACATAAGAGATTTCTGTTGCGTAGTCAAGTGATCTAGTGATCCGACATAATGTCCGTAAGCTAGGTACTTTGTCATCTTTGGGTGGGCTTAGCTGCGAACTAAGAAAGCGACGGATACTTCCGAGATTCATGGATTCTTCATGGTCTGGACAATATAAGACGATCTATGGACAAATAGTACGTAGAAATCAACAAGCTAAGTAGCTTTGAGACATTTGCAGGGATAAAACATCTTATATATAAAGCTGAATGTCTGTTTGTCTGTCTGTATGTCTGTATGTCTGTCTGTCTGTGTGTACGTATGTTCCGAATAGAAAATTCCATTTCTGAACCGATCCGGACCAAACTTGGCACACATACACTACGGGCCCCGGCGGGTGTCATAGGCTACTTTTCGTCATCGATCGATATCGATTTTATCGATTTTTATCGATTTTTTTGCTGAGTTCACCTACGGGGCTGGGAGTTGGCACAGGGGGGTAATCGAGCATGGGGATTCCGAATACAATATTGGTTTTCAGGATTATCGATTACTTTTATCGATTTTATCGATTTTTTTGCAAAGTTTGAGCTACGGGGCTGGGAGTTGGCACAGGGGGGTAATCGAGCATGGGGATTCCGAATACAATATTGGTTTTCAGGATTATCGATTGCTTTTATCGATTTTATCGATTTTTTTGCAAAGTTTGAGCTACGGGGCTGGGAGTTCGCACAGGGGGGTAATCGAGCATGGGGATTCCGAATACAATATTGGTTTTCAGGATTATCGATTACTTTTATCGATTTTATCGATTTTTTTGCAAAGTTTGAGCTAGGGGGCTGGGAGTTGGCACAGGGGGGTAATCGAGCATGCTGATCATCCCCAAGGGGGGTGATCAGCATGCTCGAACACCCCTGTGCCAAATTCCAGCCCCCTAGCTCAAATTTTCAAAAAATCGATAAAATCGATAAAAGTAATGGACGATCTTGAAAACTAATATTGTATTCGTAATCTGCATGCTCGATTACCCTCTGTGCAAACTCCCAGCCCCGCAGGTCAAACTTTGCAAAAAGATCGATAAAATCGATAAAAGTAATGGACGATCCTGAAAACTAATATTGTATTCGGAATCCCCATGCTCACTTCCCCCCTGTGCCAACTCCTAGCCCTGTAGGTGAACTCTGCCAAAAAATCGATAAAATCAATAAAAGCAATCGATAATTCTGAAAACTAATATTGTATTCGGAATCCCCATGCTCACTTCCCCCCTGTGCCAACTCCTAGCCCTGAAGGTGAACTCTGCCAAAAAATCGATAAAAATCGGTAAAATCGACATCGATCGATAACGAAAAGTGGACTGTGACACCCGCCGGGGCCCGAAGTGTATGTGTGCCAAGTTTGGTCCGGATACGGCGGAGCCGGGTAAGCCAGCTAGTAGTTCATAAAGCTGCACTGATGAACACGGGGCATGGCGAGATAGCACAGTTCCAACACAGATAAGAGGTTATCACAAAAAGGAGACAAGAAAAAGGTAGACCAACAATGGTCGGTTGCTCAATGAGCCACAGGAGCAGCACAATCACGTCATAAGTGCAAAGCAAAACACTGAGGCACTCGTAAAGTTTGATGGACATAATTAAAAAGGGTACTATAGTATGAGTATAACTTATCCTAGAAATTCAAACGATGTATCGCGTTCGCCACCTCCATTCTAAACAAAGAATTAAGCACCCTTTATTGAAACTGAATATTTACCTGCTCCACGGCGAGTTGTGCCATATGATAATGTTGCCTACGTAGCTCAGCCAGCTTTTTGCGTTCCATAACGAGCTGCTGCTCTAACTCCAACATGCGAACCTGGAAAAAAGCAGTTGAAGAGTCACCCCTAATAACGGGTATAAAAATTACTACGGTAAATTCCCCCCAAAATTTGAAACTTATGTGTTCTCAAAGACACAGTTAATCTCTCCTTCGCATGAAATCAAGTGTCATGATGATGTTTGAAAAAATCAGAAACTTGAAGAAGACTGCGCGTATACGAAGGAAAGCTTATTTACTTATGTTCCGATTAACATACCTGGGACTCCATTTCCTCCTTCTTGGCGTCATGCAAAGTGAGATGTGAGAAATCCAAGCTATCTGAAATGACTCTCATACATAGAATACACAAAGCAAAGTTGAAAATTGCAAGAACCTTCCCCTTTACGCCCCCCTCGCCATTTCGGCTCTCAAAAGTTCTTAAAGGCAGCGTCCAGGCAAGTCTGGACCTATGGGGATTTCACGTGGAAAGTACTTTTGGGGCCCTAACTAAGCCACTGCCCAACCGGCAGCTCAGGTAGTACCCTAACGCCTAATCCCCTCGAAACTGGACCCCGCCACCGTGTTTCGCATGGATTCATGGCGCAAAGCGTGGATCCTGGCGCGAAAGTGCCATGAATCCATGCGAATACGTTCGCGGGGGCCAGTTTCGAGGGGAATATCTCAGCCATTAGAGCACTATCTGAGCTGCCGCTTGGGCAGTGCCTTAGTTAGGGCCCCAAAAGTACTTTCCACGTAAAAGCCCCATAGGTCCAGATCTGCCTGGACGCTGCCTTTAAGTGTATATGCAACTCAATTATACGTACCTTGGTCATTGAGAGTAGTCTGTCCATTTTTGACTGCGGCTACAACTTGAGCAGTACACTGATTGACGCTCTTAGACGTGGTCGACAATGTTGCTAATCTGAAAAATACATAACTTCGCAAAAGTTTGTCACAGAAAAACTCTTACTTCTGAGAATCCTTGTCAGCTTTTACGCGACTCGAAACAAACAGCTGAGCAGTTGACGCAGCAATCTCTTGTGCAGCAACGATGAGTTGTTCAAACTTACCTGAAGAAGAGAAGAAGTTTCCTAGTCAAGCTTATTATAGCACCGCGGTTGCCCACCTTTTCCGGTCACCACACCATCGGCTGATTGTACAAGAACACGAGCAGCAACTCCCACAGCTTTAGCAGCAGAAAGAAGACCCTTCAAAAATGCTCATAAGCAGGACACATGAGACCAAATCAAACAACCTCTGTCCACTGATGGTTTCGCTTATAAAACTCATGAGGTGAAGCACCACCTTTACCAGCAGCAACAATTTCTGCTTGGAGCTCTCGCGATGAAATCACCAGCGCCATGATAGCGGCCATGAGCTGCTGACAGCACCCAAGAATAGCTTCATTAACTTCCAGTCTGAAGAAGACAACTCAAATATTTATAAAAGCAATGGTATGAACAAGAAAGGCAGCGTCTAAGGAACATAAAGAAGATGCAAATCGCGCAAAACTATCGAACCTTATGCCTTCCGTGTTGTTGCGCGACTTCTCTTGAATCTTCTGAATTTCATCTACGGCTGCTTGTATAGCAGCGCTCATACGTGCCATTTCACTTTCCAGTTCGTTGCCAAGAACTTCCTGTAACAATGCATCAATTATATGGGAGTGATTCCACCGAAAACCCACTTTATCGATATCACTTTGTAGAGGCAGTGCAGTCATCATGTCAAGAAGCTTCTTGCACTCAGCTTCGAAGTTTTGCAGATCGAGATTAGAAGAAGATAGGCGTTCTTGTAATGCTCGCACAACAGTATGACACTGCTCATTCACACCTAAACATGGATTACATAAAGCACAAAAATTCTGACGACAAACAATATGCAACGCAATTAGGCGGTTACACTATTGGTCTGCTTGTTCAGCTTGACCGATTCCTGCCGAACAAACAAGACCTACAGAATCAATGCCATAATTGACACGCAGCATTTTTACAGCAGAACAATTTAGTTAAGATGTACCATACATGACCAGGCGATGGTCTAAACCAAAATACATATTCTGTATCGGCTTGACGCAATGTACCCAATACACGCAAATTGTTACTACAGACAAGAGCATGGTATAGCAGGACCCGCAACCCCCATTTTAGAAAACAACCTACCATCGAAGTGTTGGATTGAAGCGGTGTAAGCTGCTGCTGCGCAAGCGGTCACCACTACAACTGTATCGTGCGTCAAGACAATGGTGTCACCCATGCAAGTTGGCTTCTTTTCGCCTATCATATTAACAAGGGCCGTAAGTGCGGAGATCGCAAGATCTAAATCACTTTCATTATAAAATGCAACACCAAAGTCATCAAAGAGTTCGAACGTGACTTACGAGGTGGATAGGTAATTGTGCTAGCATTTGGAAGTTCTTCTTCGCAACGGGAAAGCATAGCTAACACTGCCGCACGGATCATACCTGAGCAATCACTTTCAAAGCGATCATACTGATGGACAATAATAAAGTTTTTACAAATGGCACTGTCCAGCACCGGGAACTAACACTGAGCTACGGTACAAAACAGTAAATGACGGTAAAACGGAATTTGAATATCACTCACCGTTCATCTTCTTCTCAAGCTCAGCTTTTTCATCTACAAAGCGATCAGATGCAGTAACCAGTTCGGATTTGTGAGCAGCTTTGAGATTCTCCATATTCTTAAAGAGAACATGGCATAGCAGCAACTGCCAGAAAGAGATTTCTGACTCACCCGTCGCAGATCCTCCATATCAATATCGGCCTTCGCTAGTTGGGATCGTAGCTCATCTACTGCTACAGCATCACCTTCAACCTTACTCGATAATGCTTGATTGTTCTTTTCGGATTCTTCCAAACGTCGATTAAGAGCTGTGTACTAAAAACAAAAAAATAATTGGTACATCCTGAGTTTGGAAGGTTACTCACCTCTTCTTCTTTATCCATTCTAGCCTTTTCGCTTGCAGCGAACTCTTTTTGCAACTCTCCCAGCTTTGTTAAGGCCTAAATATAGAAACTGGAAACTATGACGGTTTCCGAAACAAAAAAGGTAGAAAGTTACTGACTGCAACATGCTCTTGGCGGAATTTCTCATACGCAGCCTTCATTTTCCCAAATCGTTCTTCTGCCACTCGTGCTTGTTCATGTGCCTCTTGTACTCTAGCATCATCACTCTGCACTCGTTGTTCGTCTCTAGCAGCCAATTCTCCTGCAAAAGACTATCTCTGACCAGCCACAGGCGCGAATGTAGATAAAGTTGAGAGCAAAAGTTCGTTTGACTGATGTACAGGGGTAAAAGTATCATATGAACACATTCTGAATCTTTATGTTAATAAGCAAAAGCCAAATTAAACCACATACTTTTCACAGTGTCGCACTCTTCACGGGCTTCGTCAGCTTCCCTTCTTGCGTGCTCGAACTCACTTTGCATTTGAGCTAATCTATTTTCATATTGTTCAATACGGGATCGCGCCTCTGCAATCAGTCTCTCCTTTGCAAATCGCTCGTCTTCTAGATCACGCGTAAGATTGAGGATTTGGTCGTCTCTGAAAAACACACCATTTGTTCATGAGAAACATTCATAGATGACGCAATCGGATGATTTCAAAAACTGATACGGGACTATAAAAGGTTTGCACTTTGCATTTGAACAAAATAGAGGTGCAATAACATAGAGAATGAAAAGTCAAAACTGATCACTAGGTTTGTTTTGATACAAGCCGTTGGAATTCAGCTTCTGAATTCTCTGTTCAGCAAACAAAAGGGTTCGCTTCGCATTGAACAGGCCAATGCCTACTCCCAAACTGTAACTTTCTGATTAGTGGCATGAGGAAAGAATGTTGACCATTAGTGCCACTGAGGCTGACTGTTTTGATCGGTGACACGATCGATCCATCACATGTTTGGTGTCATGTCATTCACAAATACCTGCTTCACACGAGCAGCGCTTCTCAAGTCAACAAAGAACAACGCAGACCATTAATCCCAGATACAAATGCACTAAAAACCAATGCAGAATCGTGCTTACCGAGGATCTGATGGTGGAGGTTGTTGTTGTGACCTTTGCTCTTCCGTCCCTAGATCAAGCAAAACCTCGTCAGCAGTGACTGACTGTCCATCTTCCGAGCCTTCGGAGTGGAGATAAGCATGAGGAGTTTGATAGCTGTCAAGATCCGATGCTTGTAGGAAGTTAGGTGCAGCCTTAATCAAATCATGTTGAAACTATGTATGAATGACAACTGCCTTACTGAGGGTAGCGTTGGAATAGAGACTAGATATTTGAAATACTGCAAATTACTTGATTCTTCATAAAACTTCTTCGTCCTGCGAAACACTTCCTAAACAAGCCAAGTAAATTCAACTTGCAAAATGATCAAAGACTTACTCTAAATCTTGTTCGGTGCCCCTCAAGTGCATCCGGGGGTAACTGCCCATGTAGCTTGAAAATCATTTTGACTAGATAATCGTAAAGTTTGCTGGTATCAAGAATGACTAGAATCAGTGGGGCAAGAAGGCATTGCCCTTGTGGAACTAATGAGCTCCATCGGAGACATTCCATAGCATCGTATACTCAAACAGAAATTGTACGAGCGAGAACGCTTAACGCAATTCAAGAGAATTGCTAGCTTTACCTTTCGTCTGCAGGCTCAGTAAATTGTCCATCTGATCCAGCATATCTATCGTCATTTCGAATGCATTATCCAAATCACTTTCAAGTGTTTTTATTTGAGATTCCGTCAGATTGAGACTCCCAGGCATAACAGGATACTGAAAGAGTAGTGTTAAATGAGCCAGACAAGACAGAATTCTTGCTTGCAACGATTCCAAGATATCGATTTCTTCTCAAGAAATGTACGGATGTAGACGAGAATAAATGACTCAAAATTTACAAAAACTTCACAGCTCAGATGCATCGACCTAATCAGTATCATTCAGACTAGTGCAGTTTGATGCCCACAAAAATATCAAGGATGAAATCTACAGGCGTAATTCAATTTGAAAATTTTGAAAGCCGACTTTTTACGACTGATTTCAGGCAATCACAAAGTATGAGTTTCCAGATGCTTGTGCGAAGTGATTAAAGCGGTTCAAACTGAAGGAAGTTTGGTATGAAATCATTCTGATTTCGCACTTGTCATTTTCAAAGAAGAAAGAGAAAGATATCGAAGTTTGCAAACGTTAGCTTGCTTTGTCATTTGAAAGTAAGAACCTTCTCGACACAAAGGCGCTTGGTAAGGTTCGTTCATTTTAGAACAAAGGGAATCAAGGAAATCAGGCTTAGCAGAAAGTTCCATGTGCACTTCTCATACTTCAGATAACCAAAGCATGGACAGTGTGAATTTATTTGCTAAACGATAGACTGTACCTTACGATGAAACTCCAGCCTTTGGACCAGAAGGTTGCTGTATGTCTCATTGCAGATACCATAACCAGATGTGTTGAGATGTTTCCAGAACTGACCCAGTTGTTTGATACGTGGGATGAACCTGAAAGAGCCATCCACTTTTGTGTGACTAGTCTACACAAAGAAATATAATTTGCCATCTTGATAAAGCACATAAGCACACGTAATGTACAAGCTATTTTAGTATACTTGCTACTATGATAGCATTGCTGGTATATTTTTGTATTGTTTGGAAACAAACAAAGCCAAAGAGGGAAGAACGATAATGCTTATGGGAATGCATGGAAATCTACAAAAAGCAACTTGTACGCAAAACATTTCCGCTTGCTACAGACACTCTAGATTCATACAAAGTTCATAAATCGGCATTGGATGATAATAAATTCGCGGCATAAATGGGTTACTTACCTATGTGACTCCTCAGGAACTCGTCTATGCCCATCTCGTATTAATTTGTGTAGTAGATGACAGAACTAAAAGAGCATAGCTAAATGAAGTATTGCGATCATTATGTTACACTGATGACTTCCACGAGCTAAGAGAATGATTTGATATATATTTCCCAAAGATCTCATCACCATGAACAGCTACACTTGTTGTTAGTGATTTGACATTTTTTACAGCAAAGAGACAGGTCATAACTTAGCGCGGAACGCATCGCCGACGTCACCGCTATGGGAATGTTTCTTTTTGGCCAGATTTCGATAACAAAAGAGTTTTGCACGTGAAGAACAAACGAAGTTTTGCTTAGGGAGAGCTTCTCATAAACGAGATCGCTTCTATTCAGAGCAATTGTTAGTTACCTTCCATGTCATCACCGGGTTTTTCTCCAATTGTATTCTGTTGACAGCATTCCAGAAGACCGCTGATGATCTATAAGAATATATTTGGTAAGAATCTTGACTAACTCGAATACGGGTTATAAGCATTTTAGCACTTTTCTTATTCTTCTTTCTGCCAATAATGCTGCTCGTTTCCTATATATATTCTAGCCCTGTATTGGCCAAGCTTCACATAATAATAGTATTGTACGAAGGATAACTTTTGAGCTTGTGTTCTCTTTTCAAATCAACTAAATTTGCCAATGCCGGTTGCCACAAAATTGGGTTCAAAGTGCTAGGAAAATTTTCTTTAACATGTTAAATGACTGAACATTTTTGAACACATCAATTGGAAAATCCCACGCATTCTCAAAAGTTCGGAGAAGTATTCAGAAAGGTGTGTGATAGCCAAGCGAAAAGACTTTGTAGTCCCACATATCTTATGCAGAATGTGTTTGTGTTTTGACAGAAAAATATATTTTCAAACTGGCTGGTTTGCAAAGCTACAGCATCCAATGCGTCACATTTTACGTGGGTCACCATATTTTCACAGAAAACACCATGTGCTAACATAATGACTGCCTAATACAGTGTATGGGCGATTCCTCGCACGCACAGACTGGAGTCGTGTCAGATAGTCCGTGACATGGGAGAGACATGAGACGGCCGGAGAGACGAAAGAGAACTCGACCAGCGAGACGCCACAGCATCCGTAACAACTCCCTGTCTTTGCGTGCAATGAACCACCTATACAATGCTTAGATGCAGGATTCACCTACTTCTTCAAAGCATGGTAATGTTTGATTTTTTTTCCAAGCATAACTCAATGTGAACATTTTTCATCTTCTAAGCTAGCAGTCCACAAGAAAGTAAAACATTCAGTACCTTTCTTGATGTGTGCCCACAATGAGACGGCGAGCATGTTTCGGCTTTAAGGGTAGCTCGTACTTGGTTAGTGCTTTATGCACTGCTTCCAGCTGCAAAAACACGTGATTCAGAAACTGATGACCGCTTTCAGTCTTGCTCACCTGCCCTTTGACAAAAGCTTCACGATCCATGCGCTCCAGCTATTACTGAACCCGCCAGTACAAGAATCTGAAGTGAAATAATCACTGCACTATTAGAGTGAATTATCTGCAAAAGTAAAGACACGAACTCTGTGCAATGGCTTGAAAGAAGGGTAAGGGTAACTAGAGTCGACTTTTAAGCAAAACTACCTAACTGTGTCCTCCGAAAACAGCTCAAGCACAGTTGCAGCGATGATTTCCAAGTCTACAAGGCTCAAACTGGCATAGAAACCGGCTGATTCGTCATGTTCGACGGCGGTCGCCTCATGACCGCGCACCGCTAATCGTCGCGCCCTACCTTTAATCGAGCGAGCAAATGGGGCGCGAAATCTTATCAGAATGCATTGGAATTTGATCGATGTGAAAGCGTGCTTGACCACGCAGAGTTGTTCATGCAAAGTTGGTGTTCTCGAGACTCTGGCCATGTGGAAGGAGAAGTCCTTTTCCTATTTGTACGAGGCCATAAAGTGGGCCCAGGAGAAAATCGCCCGGAATGTTGAGATTTTTCACTCTGATAGATTCGCCCTTTGTGCTTTCCTCTTCAACGCATAAACAGTTGCCAATCTTGGCTTTTTCGACCAATTCATACAGCTCAGCTCATCTGCTATTGGTCAATTCAGAATTTTGAGGGAATTGGTGAGCCAGAAAAATCGGTTGAACCGGGTAAGTCTGGCACCTACCACACCGCCACAGTAAAGATCATACGGTCCCACAACGGCTCCGCCCTCGTAACCGTGGCGGGAAATGCGAAACTCCAAACCTTGGCGCAGTGGCGTACCCAGGATTTCGGCTCGGGGGGGGGACGACAAAAAAATTTTCCCTATAAAGGTGCGGGGCGTCAGCCACGAGCTCCGAAAATTTTTTTGGTATGCTTCCTAGAATTTTCGCGGGCTCAGAACCCCGAAATCTCAGAAAAGGGGGCGTGGCGTGAACTACGCCCCCAAAAAATTTCTTTTATGGGGCTAAAATGAATAAAAGATCTTAAAGTTATTTTGATTACAAGTGCAGACAAGTCATTTGCACAATATAACACATGAAGGTAACTTTCAAACATTTCGCGCCCAGCCCGCCCACCCCCCCCCCCCCTCGGTACGCCACTGACTTAGCGGAAAATGCAAAACTTGTCTAAATACAGAAAAGGACTGTAGGAGAAGCCGGTTTTTGCTGTTTTTGTGTCCACCAAGGCGATTTTCGGATTCAGCATAATGGATTCAAGTAATCGAAATGTTGGTGTCGAGTTCTTACAAAGCAAAGCACTCGAATTTTTCTATTTTACTGTTTTTTTTCATCATCAAAGATTGGTGCTATGGAGGAAATGAACACAAGTCATGACCAATTGGAATGAACCTTTCAAAAATTTCAACGATTCATAACGTTTTGGAAGTAGACGATTCTGGACAATTCAATTCAATTTTTTTTAGCCTCAAAGCTACCAGTGTAAAATCGCCCTAGTATACATATGGAGACGGCTTGAAGCAGAAAATGTACTGTGAAGTTTTATCGAAATCATTTCGTCTTCTTGTTATATAATGATGCACTTTGCATTTGAGTGGCATAGAACCGCATTCAATATCATTTACTAGAATTTTCTTCCCACCATAAAGATGAAAGGACTTGTTTATGCTTCGCTTTCACTGGCATTTATTTTGAAAAAACCCTTATCAAAGACGAAGTCGATAGATTTATGTGGGAGCTGAAAAAAAATGCTGCCAGATATGGCGCAACAAGCAGGCTTTAGAGACCAAGCAATCTGCAGAAATTAAATGTTAAAATCACTGCCGTATGCACTATTCTCCCATCATACTACTTGTGCTGAGATCTTTTGGTCCACATTTTTGCAAGAAATATTCCTCCCCCCCCCCTTCCCCTCCCCTTTTCCCTTATCTACATTGTCCCATCTTTGAAGTTTTGCTTCAGAGTAATTGGTTGTGATGTTCTACCCGTTTTTTGTACCTCTTTTTGACCATGATTTTGGGGGGGGGGGGGGGGGGAGGAAGCCATAACTTGAAAGCCTCCTCTCTTCTAGATTATTCTTGTATATTGTCGTTTTCATATAACTCTGCTGTGACAACAAATAGTGGAAAATTTTCTTTTTGTTCTATTGCCTTGGAATCTACAGCCAGCACCGAAGTCTCGTGCTACGAAATGGAGATATGGTTTTAGAAAGCCTTTGAACTTACGAAGTTTTTAGCGTAACATAACCTGTCGGTGTAGTCCTCATGAACATCATAAAAATCATAAGTACAATGCAAGTACGGAACTTTTGCTGTATATGGTGAGATTAATCTTAGAAATTTACTGAGAATGGAAAAATTTGCAATCAGCCATGCACAAAATCAAAAACACGAGTGGATTTTTTGCAATTAGAAAGAGTGAAATAAGTGGTTTCTTTCAGATTTTCATGCAAAAATGTTTAATGGTAAAATTTAGTAAAATCCAAGGTTACAGTGCTGTTCATCTCACTACTGACTGCACAAAGAGCAGTGTTTCTGCAATTCTGCTATGTTCCAAATCAAGTCATGGTTCCTCAGAGTAGATGTTCTCAAGAGAATGTTTGAAAAAAAAAGCTTCTGCCTGAAGAATCTTTCTCTTTGCTGGTGCATTAATTGAATATGCATAGAATTGTCGTAGATTTGCAGTTATGCTTTCGCAAGGATCATTCCCAAAAGAAGTTATGGCGAATCGAACTTAGACTTTGAAAAAAAGTACAACTTTCAAAAAACCCAATAGTTCCTCTATTAAAAAAGGCCCATTCCGTGCTAATTATGCAGAGTTCCTGTCTTTGTATCCAGCGGAATAACTCCAATACACTCGGCAATACAGTAAAACAAAAAACGCGCATAATAAAATACACAGAAGAATTTTCAAGACAGATTGCCAAAACAATAAATGTGATTGAGAGTGAATAAAAAATCAGTCCAACACCTAAAGAACGACTTTGTCTTGTCTCTTCTCATCATAAGAACTTTTCGCAAGAAAGAAAATGGAAATAGAGGAAACCCCAATATTTGCAACACAGGACTCGAACAGCAGAACTGACTCAAACTGGTCGACCTTGCTCTTGAAATGTGAAAATGACTAAGCCAGTGACAGACGTCAAGGTGCGACCTCTGCAAATCGCCACCTGGAGCGGGGTCATCTATGAGGAACTGTCCAGCATTAAAGGTATAAAAGGTTCAGAAGCTTCGATCAGCTGAATAATCGTGGACAAAACCTATTTTAGCAGCACGTGTTGTGGACTACAGCAAATATTTGTATGACTTTTGTTTGCGCAACGAATTCCCTGCTGATGCAGGCTAGTGAAATAGACCTGTTTCGGAAGCAAAAACTCTAAAGACATCGACCTGAATGAGATTCCGCTTGATGTCATTAGGCCTCAAAATCAATCGTTCTCCCGCATACTGAAGAATTTCCCAACGTATTTGTGTTGACGCTGAATTTTATGGTTGAAATAATTTCTTTCGGCAGCAGTAAAATCTCATCCCTAGTCGCACCTCCTAACCTAGTTGATCCCCAGGTTTTGCGAATAATTTTCTATTCTCTAAAAATTCGCATTCGAATGTAGGTGTTTGGCAATAAATGTTATAGATTCGTTGATCAAAATCAAAAAATCGGAAATGAGTATGCGAAAATCATTGGTTGTCAATGAAAATTGTTGTATCAGTGTCTGATCAGTTGTTTTCTCGTATGATCTGCCCTCGCTGAGGCGCCTGCGACCTCAATGCGCGGGAAATGAGCGCTATAAAAGGCGCTCGCTGTTAGCCATTGTCAGTTAATTCGTTCACTTATTCGCCTCTCATATTTTTCTGTTTCTCTATTATTCCTCTAATAAATTTATTCGTTTTCCTCTGTGCCTGCCTCAGTACGAAGAGTCGACGTGTCCGACGTGGAGGACACAACAGTGGCGATCAGGAGGCAGCGGCTACTAGCGAAGAAGTAGCCGTAACGAAGAAGCACGCCAGGAACCACGCCGAAAAGCTGCAGGGAGCCGAAATCTCGAAAGCAGAAGTGGTCACAAATGGCGAAAATAGGCACAGAAGACTTGATGATCATGTTCAAGGAACTGATCAAAGAAGACCAGAAGAGCCTCAGGGAATTAATGAGAGAAGAGAGGCAAGAAATGATGGAGACGTTTCTGAAGCACATCGCAGGTACTGGACAGCCCAGTACGTCGTCGGAAGTTCCGAACATGATGTCCGCGCTGAGCAACCGGATCGAAAAATTCTACTTCGACCCAGAAGCGGACGAATGCTTCAGTAAGTGGTACGCTCGCTACAAGGAAGTCTTCGTCGAAGATGCGAAGCAGCTGCCAGAGAGTGCCAGGGTGAGGCTTCTCTGCGAGAAGCTCGATCAGGAATGTTTCGAAAAATATCAGAGGCATGTCCTGCCGAAAGAGGTGACTGCGATTAAGTTCGAAGAAACCGTCGAAACATTGAAGCAACTATTCGACGTGAAGATCTCCGAATTTACAATGCGGTACCAGTGCTTAAAGCTACAGAAGAGCGACGCCGAAGATTACCTCATGTACACTGGAAGAGTGAACGAATTGTGCGAGAAAGCGAAGATTCACGAACTCGATAGCGATGGGATCAAATGCTTGCTATGGATATTTGGCCTGAAGAGCCAAAAAGAAGCTGAAATAAGGCAGCGACTCATCGCCGTGCTGGACAAGGATTACAAAGCTGGACGAAAAATGTCGCTACACGAATTGTACTTGGAGTGCGAAAACTTCCTCAGTCTCAAGAAGGACAGCGAGACTGTAGCTGGTTGCGCGAAGATTGTCGAAGCAACAAGCAAGGAGGAACCCACGAAGCTGGAATGCTGGAACTGTGGTAAAGCTCACTTTGCCAGGGAATGCAAGGTGAAGCAATGGTTTTGCAAGAAGTGCAAGAAGACAGGTCACAAGGAGAAGTATTGCGAACAAGTGGCGGAGAGGAAAGCACTTGTTCAGCAAGATTCGAAACGAAGAATCCACAGAAACAGCGACACCAGTAAGAACAGAAGTTGGACGAAGCCAAAACGTCATGTGCACAGCGTAGCGAAGATTGCGAATGCGATGGTGGATGTCAACTCGACACGCATGTATATCGAAGCAAAAGTGAATAATCATCCAGTTAGCTTTCTGTTGGATACTGGATCAGACATCACACTGTTAAACGAATCAATATGGAGGAGCATGGGTGCTCCTCGGCTAGAGAACACGAACGTGGTCGTCAAGAATGCCAGTGGAGGCTACATGAAGGTTCATGGAAAGCTATGGTGCGACTACGAGATCAAGGGTTCTAGGAGCGAAGGCTACGCATATGTGACGCCCCACAACTCATTGCTAGGACTGGAATGGATCCAGAAAAACGAAGAAATGTCGTACCACTTGAGCAGGATGGCTGCTGAAGTGAAGTTGGGACAACACGATGCTATCGCTCAG